TCTGAATTCAATGAAGCTGTTCCAAAATTATGGTTATTTATACGAGGAGAGTATTTACAAAAAGCACAGCATAGTTTGCTTATGGACTATAGCAGAAACTAATTCAAAATATATCTGAGCGTAGACAAAGACTCAAAATAGAATCCCAAAGTCATAAAGTACAACTTTCCTTAATCAAGTATTATGGGCCACACAGTCAACTGGGCTGAATACCCAACTGGAAGTTATGCACAGCATAGATTATATGCTACACAAACCGATTTTAAAACTCATCTTCAACAAAATATCCAGTCTTACTTCAGTGATGCTGCTGAGAGTAGAAATGAATCAAGGTCAGCCTCATTTCGTTTGTAACAAGATACACTGTAAGTTATTTATTTTGCTGGTCTTAATTTGCCTCAACTCAATTCCACAGCATGGATTTGAAGAACTAAAAAGCAAACAGCTTTGAGAGCATCTGCTACAAACACATTCTAACAGTGATGGTGCAAGTTTGGAAATCTGTGCACAACACATCTGCATTTACAGCAGGAAACATATATCCTACATTGCACAGAGCAACGGTCCCCAAAGTACAGATGAGTAAGCAGGGTCCAGAACTGGAAGTTACATCACCATGTTAGGTGCCCTCAGAAAGGCTAATTATCCCAGGTACAGCAGGATGCTGCTATGACTGTACTAATTTCACAATGCAGGGTCTCTGCACAATGCTACTTTGTGTGCTGTAATGTACCAGTCATCATATGTATAAACTTGGTACTCCCAAACTGGTTCACTGCAAAATACACATATGCTAGATTGGGTGAAATTCTGGCTTCGTAAAGGAAATGGCAAAAATGTCATTCAGCAAAGACGAGAGTCCACCTCTTTGATCCCAACTGACCATTTTATCTCAGAGGAGTTTTCAGTAAAATTCTGGTTAACTTCTTCACTATTCAGTCTATAAGTTCCCATTTTCCTATGCATTGGTGCTGAATCATAGAACCATTTAGGTTGGAAAAGACCTTTAAGATCATCGAGTCCAACCGCTAACCTAGCAGTGCCGAGTCCACCACTAAACCCTGTCCCTAAGCACCGCACCTACACCTCTTTTAAACACCTCCAGGGATAGGGATTCAGCCGCTCCCCTGGGCAGCCTATTCCAACGCTTGACAACCCTTTCGGTAAAGAAATTTTTCCTGATATCCAATCTAAACCTCCTCTGGTGCCATTTCCTCTTGTTCTATTGGGAGGAGGGGAGGAGACCGACCCCCACCTGGCTACAACCTCCTTTCAGGTCATTGTGGAGAGCAATCAGATCAGATCTCCCCTCAGCCTCCTCTTCTCTAGGTTGAACACCCCCAGCTCCCTCAGCCGCTCCCCATCAGACTTGCGCTCCAGGCCCAAGTCGTTGCCCTTCTCTGGACTCGCTCCAGCACCTCAAGGTCTTTCTTGCAGTGAGGGCCCCAAAACTGAACACAGCACTCAAGGTGCAGTCTCACCAGTGCCCAGTACAGGGGGACGATCACTGCCCTGGTCCTGCTGGTCACACTATTGCTGATACAGGCCAGGAAGCTGTTGGCCTTCTTGGCCACCTGGGCACACTGCTGGCTCATGTCCAGCCGGCTGTTGACCAACACCCCAGGTCCTTTTCCAGCGGGGCAGCTTTCCAGCCACTCTTCCCCAAGCCTGTAGCATTGCATGGGGTTGCTGTAACCCACACGTAGGACCCGGTGCTTGGCCTTGTTGAACCTCATACAATTGGCCTCGGCCCATCGATCCAGGCTGTCCACTTCCCTCTGTAGAGCCATCCTACCCTGCAGCAGATCAACACTGCCAAACGATTGGACTTGTTTTAACATAGCACTATCACTTCTGCTTTTATTATAGCTTAGTTGTACCTTGTGTTGTTGAAGAGTAGTTGAAGAGTAATTGAAGAGTTTCAGCAAAGAAAATGGTGCTATGCTAGATGACAACTACTAGAACTCTACTCTGAATTACTAATTTGGTCATTTTTCTGTTGTTGCTTAGCTGAAATAATTATTCACAGAATCTCCTCTTTATTGCATGGACAACCCAACTGATGTCATATTACCAGTGCACTCAGTTTCATCCAATGTTGCTACCAAAAGAATTATTCCTGATCTCTCCCCCAACCCATCACTGCCCATTCCTTTTGAGGATGCTATTGAATCAGAGTTGGCAACGGATATGAATTAAAACAAATCCAGCAGGGGAAAAAATTATTTTAATGCAAATCAGTTCCCTGAGCTGGTTCATTGCATTGCTGTTTGTGCCACCACAAGCTAAAGTATAGAGGAGAAACAAATCAGGAAGATGAAGCAGAGCTGTTTTTTATAGTTGGCAGTGTTGGTTTAGAGTAACGCAGGGTGATCCTATACCTAGGATATTGTGGATTTTTTTTAGATGCATGTCTTCCCTTTACATCTGACAGAGCTTGTTCACTGAAATACAGTGGGCCTCCAGATCTGCCAGCTCCTGGCTGGCTGACAGCCTCTTCCAACACCTCCTACAGAGCTCAGAGGAATGACAGAGCTGTTAGATTTTTTACTGACAGATTGAACACTCAAACTTCTGCAATAGTAAGTGCCAGGAAATATGTATAGCTTGATTCTTACAAAGATAATGCATTTAAAAACACTGTATTTCTCCATCAGGTAAAATGTCTTTTGCCTAAGTGTTCAAAATTCACTTTCATCATGAGATACCTTCACATGGGCTGGTATAAAATAGTCTGAATATACAGAAAGACCAGTTCCTTCATCTTACACTGACATCACGTATACCTGGTCTCCACACATGTTGTTTGTGGCTGAACAGTTGCCCTTCAGATAGTCAGAGTACTGAAATACCTGAGCTAGCTTTTAACAGTTCAGGTCAAGGAGCAGGGCTGAGATGCACTAACTTGCCCTACCAAGGAGAAACCTCCGGTAGAGACCTCACATGTTGGATCAGGCTGGCATGTATTTTTCATGTGGTTATACCAGCACAATCTTCAGGGAAAAGGGCTGTGCTCCTTCTAGTATAAAAGTGTCTTCTCTCTGGATAAACTATTTCCCTTTCCAATAACTTAAATTACTGGGATCGGAGCTGTACAATTAATATTGTACAAATATTGAAGCCAAAATACTTCAGGGCTATTTCTACTGAGATCAGCTGGGCTGTTCATAGGATAAGCTAATATTTAGTATGAGCAGAGACAGCAGACTCTGATCCAGAACAAATGATCCCTGTTTCCTTCCTTTTATTCACAGTGTTTACATAGTCCACTGTTTGGCAACCTCATTCTGAGGCCAGTGACCCACCACTTCTTGTGATTGTTATGACGACCAACAGCAAATCTCTTCAGAGCAAGCAATTAACCAGTGCTGTTCAGTCAAATCCACTGCTGTGTCTCAGTTTGAGGCTTCAAATACCAGTTTTGGGTCTTCTAGAGACAATGTTGAACAATATTACAAAACATCAGTAGCCAAAACAAACCTTTAACAAACGTAAACTGTTGCTGTCAACTCTACTGCACCTGCGTGCATACGTGAAGTAAGTGTGTCCCCCCTATACTGCACCTGTCTGCTCTGCTTTTTTTGCACACGAAATGAACTTTCCAAGATCTCTTTTCTTTAGGTATTCCAAACGCTATAAAAATGCTGGAAAGAATCAGTTGCCCTACTATTTACATGTCTTAAAACTTATAACACAGCAAGTCAATGTCAGCACTAGAACAGTGCCTGGGGGTAAACACCTGGCTCCACTGATACCAACAGCAAAACTCTCATTGACTCCCATGGGAGGAGGACGTCATCCCAGGCCTACGAGTGCCTAATGCCAGGTTCTACCCAATAGGCAGGATTTCACAGTTGTGAAACAGCATATCGCTTTGCCTGCCGTAGTGAATGGAGTACTGCTGGGTTCACTGGGAAGATTTCTACATATTTTTTCCAGCCCTTCTATCATTTCTGAAATCTGTTGAGCTAAAGGTGGGATACCGTTGGTTTGGGTTACTAAGGAGAGGAAGGTGTGACATTTTCTGCTGACAAACTCATCCTTATACCTTTTTTTCAAGTGAGACAGTTCAAAAATCTAAGGAAGTGGTTTATTTCAGTTTCTTTTCCTTCTGCATTGTTCGCTGTTAAAGCCTTCCTTTCTTTTCTGTTTGGTTGTCATGCCTGCTACAATTATTTGGGTACTTAACTTTTCATTCCTGGTGTTCTGCTTCCAAAGCAATGTGCTGATTCTGCTCATTTTTCCTTCCTCACCCTCTCTTTTCCAAAGCCTTTGCTCAATTTTTCATTCACATAAAGTTCAGCTTTCCAGTCAGCTTCATCAGAAAACCGGAAGGATTATTCAGAATAATCTGAATTGTGATGATTCTTTCTGGGCAAAGACAAATCACCATTTTGGGACTAGAGGGCTTAGACACTCTGGGAGATCTCTTATAGGCTTAATTTGCCTTGCGATGAACAAGTAGCACACATGAACACAGCAACACCCACCTCCTATACGACAGCAACTGCTGATGACCGCTGGTCTCACCTTGCACAAGAGTGCACAAGACAGTACCTGCCACATACTGCTATTGCTGCACTCCACCCCCAAATGGTGACAAAACAGATGCCAGCTGGAAAATGGGGCAGGTAGAAATGAAATACAGGACAGAAATAAAGTCAAGGCACTCACTAAGCAGAAGAATGTCTTCAGGGGTTTGGAGTTGGTGGGATGCAGACTGGTGTTCTTCTTCACACCACACACAGGGTATAAAGAGACTGCCTCAGCCCACATGATGGCTTCCTTCTCCCGTCCCATATGAGGAGTGCTGTGAAGGTTACAGAGGTGAAGGATGCCCCTCTCAGTCATGGCCTTGGCATTTGGATCTCAACTTCCACAGACTTGTGGCAGGCTGAAGAAGACAGCACCGCATGGCTCTACATGCATTAATGCTGCTGGTATTAGAAGGACCGCAAAGGGTGTTTTGCGGGCATTCGTTCTGACAGAAAAACACAAACCTGTCAGGAACTTCCTGAATAAAGGCCCAGTTTATCCTTGCATGATCCACCAGAGATTCCAGACAGATTCTTTCTCCAGAACTGTCCAGCGGGTTCTGCCACTTTTCCGTTTGTGCAGTTTTATTAAGCTCTTCAGAATTTTCATCTTGAATCCTGCAGATTCAGCACAACACAGGAAAAACCAAGGACTTCAAGGCATCCTGATCTTAAATTAAAACCCCTTTAACAAAAACATGATCATCTTTTTTTTCTAACCTAATCCCATAATGGACATTTTTTAATAAAGGCATGTGGTTTGAAAATGAGCTTTTAAATAATCAGAGAAAAGAAAGAACATAAAAACAGGTTTTAAAATGTCTGTGGAAAAAAGACAGGGCATTATTTTGAATAATTAAACTCAAAGCTCAGGTGATTTGTCTTGTCACATGTATAATGTATGAGGTTACTCTTCTCTAAAAGCCAGTGTTAAAGAAGGAAATGGTAGCATCATTAACAAATGCTATAGGGCAGAGAGTCTTTTCTGGGCAATTTTTCAATTCAATAAAATTTTCAAACTTGTATTTCGCCATTTCCAGCTCCCATATTAAAAATCTATTAGCAGAAAGCCTATTGAAAAGCTGACCATGAGCACAAGAGACTTTTTCTGGAAACACTTCTATTCAGTTCTCATGCCTGAACAAAAGCAGATTGGCACATTCAGTTATATACAAACGTGTCTGAAAGGGGCCTCCCCCCCCTTTCCCATAGCCACGCGTTTCAGGGCTCTATATGCTGAAGGAAGCCAGTGAAAGGTTTGAAGGGGTGGGGAGACCAAGGGCTTCCACTGAGATCCTTCAAAGTCCTCTTCTTCTATAGTGGGAGGATTTCCCTCTAAATCCCTTTCAATAGCATATTGATGGCTTTGAAAACTTAAATGGCATTTGTCAACCATCAGTAAATCTTGAAAACTGTTTCTGCAAATAGCCCAACTCTGAGTCTCAGCTTTTCCCATTAATCTGTACATAAGGCCACTGAAGACTTTTTCAGAGCCTAGATAATGCCTGGATTAAAAGGTCCATTCAGAAGGGAAAACTTTAGCATTCACCTTGTGTACATAGCCATTTCACCAGCAGTATTCATGGGTTGTTATTTCAACTCTGCATTTGTCCTGCAAACAAGACATTTTGCCACAAAGACTTGGTAGAGACATTCTTCAGTGAATTACTGAAACCTAGCCCTGCTATTTGTCATGGCTTGTTATTTTTATCAAGTGTAATCAGTTCAAATAGGAACTCTAGACTGACAACTTTACAATTACGTTACTATTTTAAGAGTGGAAGGTATGTTTCTTCTAATTCAACAATGAAACTGATTAAAGCACAACTTGATCGCTTTATCTAATGAAACAGTCTAAAATTTCCCTTAATCAGATGTCAGAAGACTTTTTTTTGTTTTATATTGAAAGTAAAGACAAGAACTTTATGAAAATCTTTATTCAACATTTTTACTTTATGATATTTTATAAAACCTTCATATATTTACAAGGCTTAATAATTTATAATGTGTTACATACTGCCTTGTGTTCATATTTTAGGGAATACTGTATTAACTTACCTTTCTCCAAATAAAGCAAATGGGCAAACTTTAAACCTTCAGAATTTCTGCCCCTTACACACACAGACTTTCTTTTAGGCTGTTCTTACATCCTAATAATGTTTGTGTTCTCACCTTTCTAATTTTTTTTTTGTTTTGCACCCAATAAGTTATACCAAAGCCAAGGTATGAGCTATTTGGAAGGGCACAGGGCATTTCATCATCATTATCATTATCATTATTATTATTATTATTATTATTATTGAAATAGTCAGGTCAAAATGTTTATGCATGACAGAAAATAAGAAAAACAGAACAAGATCACACACTGGAGTCTCCAGGCAAATTTTGAGGTGCCAGTGATGCAATGCTAGGCAAATCTTTTAATATTAAAAACCAAAATAAACCAACCCCCAAACCCCTGTCAAATTTATCCTAATCCAGATAGATCTCATTGTTTGAACAAATCTACTTTTTCACCATACTGGACGATTTACTGTGAATGTCAAGAACACCCAGCCTGGGGATCAGTGAGGTTCACTGGACATCCCTCACAAGGATACACAAAGATTATCCTTCCCTCTAGTACTGTTGAAAAAGAAAAGCTTCGTCAAAGATTTACATATGTGAAATCACATGAATGACAGCTGAAGGCCACACCTTGCATCTGCTTCTTTCGTTTGCCTTATTGTTCACCAAAGTGGACATGTCCCACCCATTTCTTGCTATCAATGGAAGCGACCTCATAATTTAAATGTGAAAACCCTCTGCAGCTTGGATACGGCACACCACACCATCCACGCTCAGCTCAACTCACTGTAAAACTAACGTGAAGCCTATTACACAGGTTTAAACAGAAGGGTTTTTCTACTCCAAACCTCCCCCCTCCCCCCCACCCCAATTACTGTGTTAACTCTGCAATTCTCTACGTGTCTCGAAGATTTCTAGGGGAACTATGCCATGGCTTTTGGCTGATTTTGGCAAACTAGGCCAGATTTTTTGATCTGTCGATCACTTCTTGAGATGACTTAGGGTATCCTGCCTGGCTTCCAACCAACACAGTAGGAGATGCACTTCCTGTAGAGGCGGTATCATATGTTCCCCATGGAGACACCTCAGATAACCTGGAGTACCTTAAGTGAGCATCTTGATGAAGCTCCAGCTGCATTAGAGAACAGAGACTCAATTTAGTTTGCTAAACATAGGCATCTAGAGTCATTCGAAACATCCTCGGTCACCTGAGACATCTACATGGGCCTGGTAAATATAACATTATGACCTATGACGTGACTCCTTGCCTTTTGAAGGGACAACTGAATGCCAGCTAAGATGCCCTAAGGCAAACTGAGGGCACTAGATAGATAGCTATGCTTAGGCAATTGCATTGACCTCTGAGACTGAGATTTGGCCCCTAATACTCCTAAGTTAGCTGTCTGCATGAGAAACAGGCTTCTGGGCTCTTACTGTAGTCAGTTAAATCTAGAAAGATTTAGCTCATCTTCTGATAAGTGACTTTTTTTGGTCAGTGCTCTCCAATGACTAGGACTACACTGACTGTTAGGAGAGCGAGACACTCCTTACTCTGGACAGCTGCATTTTGGATCAGCGTGTGAATCTGGAGCCGAATACCAGTTCAGTTGACTTCAGGAGCAACTAAATTACAAGATAAAATGTATGCACCATATTTATACTAGTGGTGGTGCAAGGAAATTAGATGAAGAAATTTGCTTCCTTGATTTCTTCTCTGCACCAATACAACTGAAGTTTTCTGACATCTGAAGCATACTGTAATGCCTGGTTGCTTACTCAGGCTTTTCTTTTAATGAAAGAAACTACTTTTCTTTATGTGGGAAAGTGAGAAGTTGTCTTTGCTTTCTTCAGTATACGTTAGGACTTGTGACTTGATTGTTGGGCTTTCTTTTATAAAAATATAAATAGGTAGGTCTTCCCAGAAATACAGAATACTTAGTAAGGATGATTTAATAAAAATTGGTAAAACTATAACAAAAGTGGACGCAAGTTAGGCTGGAACAACACTTAAAGACTTTTGAAATCTTTCTTCTCTGTAACTCAGGATGTGTTTCACGAAAGTAGAGCTTCAGGAGCCCAGCCTCACGTGAGTTTCTATCTTGTAGTCAGATTCCTCTGGGTTCAATGAGATGGAGCAGGTTTCTCTCCCATGCAGATTCTTAGGTGTCTCTAGATAAAAACCATCCTTTTTGGTGAGGTTAGTGCTTAGGTAAGGACAGGCTCACTGCTTTTCCTTATGGTTTCCAGATGGCTCAGAACACAGGCAGAGCTCATACACATCTTCCTAAAAAATTCTGCGTAGATGTGACTTCATATGTGTGTTGAATCCTTTGGGACTAGAAATGAGTGATATCACACAAGTGTGAAATATTCCTTGTAAAACTATTTTTCTGCACCATTTTGAGAGTCATGTACTTCCATATTACCACAAGAATGCTATTTTAAAAACCCTTGGCCTTGTAACGAACAGAACACTATGGAAGAAGGACAACTTTCTTAACTAGTCACAGATCCTCCAATTTCCTCATGGTTTTCATTCTAAGAAACTAAGGATTTAGGAAACTAATTTCTGTGCACTCAAAAAGAGGGACAAAAGCAATCCCCTGTTCTTCCTCAGGTTTGTCAACAACAGTGGTAGGAATCTGCACTTTAGCTTACATCCTACAGAAAATGTGACATAATTCAAAGGCGCAAGACCGAATTGCTTTCTCTTCTCTTGGGAGTGCCAGGGGAGCAAGTTCTGCCCACTCATACCCAAGAAGGATGTGAATTGGCAGGGGGTGGGGGAGAATTTTCTGGCCTGAAGTAATTATGCGCTTGCTGGCTTTTCCCTCCTGCACTTTTTGTACAGCAACATTCAATTGAGCAATATTTTCCAAAGAACAACATAAAGAAAGTTAACTACTATTTAGGAGTTGAGGAGACTGTAGAGTCAGAGACGAACTAATTTTGCTGGGGCACTAAGCAACACAATAAGGAAATAGAAGAAAATATAGGTCTGAATCTCAGATCAATGCTTTATCTATGAGGTGGTGCTGCCTCCTTAAGCAAAACCAATAAATATTCCCAGGCTAACCGCAGCTCTTAGTGGTATTTCAATGAATGCTTCTACTTTTCTTTATAACTCTTCCATCAATTTTTATTTTTGTGACCATGTTCTCACATTCAAACTAACACAGCTTTTGCAGCTGACATCACATGGGTTGCACTACAAATACTGCAGATATTCACAATGCCAACATATTTTAGGACATAGAAAGACAACTGAAAAATCTGTTACCTACTTCAGTTTAAGAGTGCTATCATATGGGAACAAAGTTTTTTCCCCCCAAATACTATTCAATGCATCTTGCTGGCAGGGGAAATTAATTTTCCAAACTCAGTCTTTAAAGGATATTATTTTTTTAATAGGAGCGTCTTTGAGATAGAACATATGCCCATTTCTCTATCCACACCATAAAATGTTTTTCCCATTCATCACAAATAGCTGTTTTTTTCCTATGAAAACTTTTATAGAGCCTGCCTCTGCATTTTAACTGTTCCTGACACAG